GACTGTTGCTGCGAAAAATTCAAAATTATTATGAATTCCAGTAAAGAGTCGACTCTATAAATTTAAATTCGACTCTTAGAGGCACTAGAGTCGACTCTATTATACAAAGAATCGACTCCCAAATTCCAGAGAGCAGCGAAACATTTTGGTGCAGAACAGAGTCGACTCTTTGACAGAGAGACGACTCTTAATGCTGCGGGGAAATAAACTCTCCTCCGTTCAAAATCGACTATTATTTTCTAGAGTCGACTGTTTTGCATGTAAGAGTCGACTCTCAGAGTATAGAGTCGACTCTTTGGCGCGGGATTTGATTAAAACCGCTCCAGTTCCAGATTTCCCCATTTTCCCTCTCTCTCCTATTCGACTCTCTGAGAAACCTAACACTCAACCCAGCCAAAATCCTCCCAAATTTCACCAAAATAACTCACCCAAACACAAACCCACACCATTTTCGGTCCATTCCTCTAAGATTCGTGCATAGTTATACAAAATGGTGAGGACTAAGAGAGTTGTAAAGAAAGCAAGGGGGCAGGCGGCAAGCACGTCAGGAAGGCGTCGAAGGGCTGAGCAAAGTCCTGAGGACAGTGGTGAAAGCATAGACACGGAGCAGGTATTTCAACCCGATCACCCTCGAAACTTTGTATCTAGAAATGCTATAGAAGCCTATAATAAATTAGGAAATAGGAAAGTCGTTTATGGTTTTAGAGTAGTTTTAGATGATATATGCAAAAGGGGGCTCCATATTAGAGAAATGTTAGATGCAATGGGGTGGACTGAATTAGTAAGTAGAAAGGTGAAGGTTTACCCGCAGTTGATAAAGATTTTTTATGCAAATTTGAGTGATTCGGAGGATGGAGGGTATAGAACAACAGTTCTTAAGAAAACGTTTGAATTTGATGCTGAAATTATAAATGATGTTTTACATTTGCGAAATGAGGGAGCCATCGAATTGAATGCATTTACAGAGGAATTGGCAAAGAAATTTATCATGGGGGATGAGTACAATGAGGGACAAACATTAACCATTCACCACTTGAATTTGGAGAATCAGTTAATGTTTTGGATTTACAATCACATAATTTTGCCTAGGCAAGGTTCTTATGGAAAATTTAGTGGTCTGGATTGTGTGTGGTTTGCATATATTCTTGATCAGAGGCGGATCAATTTAGGACACCATATTATGAGACAAATGGTGTATTATAGGGGTAGATCGACACTCGCACTAGTGTATGGCATTCTCATCACATTACTTATGAAAAATGCGGGTGTTGATTTGCATGGTATGGAGTCCCGAGACCTACACAGTCACGAGCTTTTGAATGAGAGTTCACTGAACAAAATGGGGTATGTATTTAGTACAAGAACAAATTCTTGGGAAATGAAGCAGAAAAGGAGAAGAGGAGGACAAGATGATGAAGGTGAGGGGTTTGATGATGAAGAACATGCCGAAGAAGCTGAAGAAGCAGGTCCCTCACAAGCTACTTCATCTCGAGTTCCTCAGAAATTAACCACACAGAGGGGAATGCAGCTCATTCTTGAGAGACTTGGACGGATTGAAGCAAAGCTCGATGATCACATTCGCGAGTGTCAGATGACAGCACCTATAGGTACTCAAGGGACAAGAAGAGATCCATCTACTACTGGCACATCCTCCAGACAGCAACCCACTGATCCCTTTTCAAATCCGGAAGCATAAATCCTCCTGTTGCAGTTGTTGATGGCTGTTAAATTATCATTTTAATGTTTGAACACTCTTTTGAAGGTTTTCTTAATGTATTGACTTTTTATATTTTTGAATATGTACATATAATGTTGACATTAGATGCAGTTTAATTGAATGCAGATTTTAACATCAATGAACATAGCATAATTGTGATGATTTGTATTGGTTGATTATGTTCTTGATGTGCTTCCATTGATGACAAGCAAGTTGGTAGTCCATAGTGCGCTTGAATGGCAATTTGTGGATGTGGTTTTAAAGTTTGATGTGCATGTGGTTTTAATGATTCAATAGTATTTTTTACATAGTTGATGTTGATGAAACAAAAAGGAAATGCAAACAGCAAATTCTGGGAAATTAAACAGCAGAAATCGACTGAAGAGTCGAATATAGGCATATATTCGACTCTTCAGGCATATGAGAGTCGACTCCAATTTTCTAGTAGGCTGGAATTTAATTTGCTGCAGCCTATAGTCGACTCTCCATAATAGAGTCGACTCTTGGAGGATTCAGAGTCGACTTTGTGATATGAAGAGTCGACTACCAAATTCCAGTATACTGGAATTTAATTTGCTACAGCCTATAGTCGACTCTCAATAATAGAGTCGACTCTTGGAGGATTCAGAGTCGACTTTGTGATATGAAGAGTCGACTACCAAATTCCAGTAGGCTGGAATTTAATTTGCTGCAGCCTATAGTCGACTCTCTATCATAGAGTCGACTCTAATTCAAAAGTAATCACAAGAAAACAAGAGAAATTGGAAAAAAAATTGAACATAAGTAAGATAATTATATTATGGTTCTTGGATGGATCGTAATTTTTGAACAGCAGCATCCCAATACTTTTTTTCAAATGTAAGACGCCCTCCAGAAGGAAAAATTTGTGTAATAGTTTCAGAGGACCCAGCAGGGGTTTTGGGTGGATTTGATAAAGATGATGATCGATAACGATTCGAGCAAATTTTTGCAATATGACCCTCACGGTTACACAGTTGACAAGTTACGGCATATCGGTGTGGGCAAACTGTAGCTAAATGTCCAGGAGTATCACATATTTGACAAACAGAGTAATTTACAGTATTAGGCAATGGAATATGTTGATCAGTTGGTATATTATTCTTTGCTTTTTTCAACTTCCTCTTGGAAGGACTTTCGGATGGGCAATTCCATAATGATTCAGGAGTATCCTCAACGATTCCTGTGTAAAATAATATAAAGTTAAGTAATATGATAATAAAAGGGGTGTACAAACGGGAAATGAGAAATAAGGGAAGGAAAAAAAATTATACCATTATATTGGCTGTCAAAATAATCTTGACTTTCCAATTGATTCTCAAAATAATCTTGACTTTCCAATTG